ACGATGATGATTGATGATGATGATGATGATGATGATGATGATGATTGATGAATGATGAATGATGATGATGATGATGATTGATGATTATGATGATGATGATGACAATATCGATAATAGTGATGATGATGACGATAATGATAATGATGATGTGATGTTGCGATGATGATGATGATGATGATGATGATTCGTGGTACATTTCTTTTTTCTTCGAGGCATCATCATATCATTCGGGGTTTATCATGTCGTAGTTGGCCATCTCTCATGTCGAATGTTGTGTGATCCTTGGGTCGCGAAACGTTGCGAACATTGATCGAAGTGACACACGAAACACATGTTTTTTTTTAATTATTATATAAATATATATTTATTTCTGCGAATATATGCATTTTTGTGACGTGATGTTATTTAGCACTAATTAACGAGAAAGAAGGAAATCGTACGATATAGTTTAACGAAGGATTCAGTAAAGAAAAACACCCCCCAAACCCCCGAAAAGGAAAAAAAAAAAGATACATGTACATGTTATATTTTTTTGCGCTACGTATCAGCTCCGTAGCTATAAAAAAAAACAGACGTGCAAAATTTTTATCGCGAAATTTTTTACCATTATTGACAATTATAAATTGTGTTTTTTCGGATTTTTTTATTCATCTCCTATCTACTAATTTGCTTTGCTTATTTTAATTCCCGCAATTTTTATTTCTCCAAGTTGCCCCTAACTTTAGTGTGAAACGTAGTTAAACATAATGATAATGATGAATTAAAAAAAGAATGTTATAACATGATTCCTTTTTTCTGGCTAAGAGCTTGATTTTGAAGTATCAAAGATTTTTGTGTATGACCAGATGTATTCTACATGTCTCAATAAACAGTTGTATGTGAATTACCTTTCTTAAATTTGTGCTGCACTTTATTTCGACCTCTTTTCTTTCAACTCTCCGTCGCGATCATCTAATGACTAATATTTTTCATATGATAATAATATTATATGTTCATACAGGGTGTTACAAAAGTACCGGAACAGCAGAATAACTAAAAAAAATATGAGTCTTAGAAAAATGTTAAGCACTGGGTTTTATGATTTTCCTGGCTATCTGAACGTCAGATTTTATCTCTACGTTCAGATAACCAGGAAAAATCAAGATTAAATGAAGATTATCATTTCTTTAAAAGATATACATTTTTGTTTGTATTTTTGTTCATATTTGTTACATAAATGACATCAAAACTTCTAAAACATTATTATTTCATATAATTTATTAAAACTATAAAAAAATTATAATACTAGTTTTTAAAAAATTTTTTATTATTTTAATCGAGACAGTTAGTGTTTCTTAGATATTCGTCCCTATATAAAGCAATTTCTAGCTTCAATTTTTATAACATGCCTAAAAAATAAGATCAAATGAGAAAATGCACTTAATGGAGATAAATAATACATTCATGACGTATTAGAATTTCCATATACCGTTAATATTTTTACAAAAATCTCAAATATCGCAAAAAAATCATTAACTCAATTATTTCGAAAATCTGATGTGATGACGAAAATTAGCTTATTGTTAGCATCGTTTTCAGCATCCAAAAAAATCTATTAGAAAACACTTTGTCTCGTTCAAAATAATTTTTCTTTATCATTTTTATATATATTTTTCATATATATATAATTTTATTCTTATGTAACATTGTAATATTAGAATGTAAGTTTTAGTTTTAATAATTAAATATTAATAATAAATAAACATGAATTTTAAATCGGCCAATAGAGCCCAAGCGCGAAAAATTAATTCTTCGGAACTGTATTCTCTGGTTTGAGATTACTAAGTTCCATATATAAATTAATCTCGAACTTACATATGGAGAAAAAAGGCGAGAGAAAAATATAGGCCGAAAAGTCGCTGAACGGGAATCGAACCCGCGTCTTTCACTTTCCGGACCTTTTTTTCATCACAGCTGTCAGAACTACATAATGCTCCCATCGAATTTGGATATAACTCTTTTTTAGTGTTGATGAAATTGAAATTGGTTCATTATTGGTTTATCACCTAAAGCATCTTCCATCTCGTCATAAAATTTACATGTTTTAAGTTCTGTTCCACTTTAATGTTATGGTCTAATTAATCTCGAACTTACATATGGAGAAAATAAGCGAGAAAAATATAGGTCCGAAAGTCGCTGAAGCGGGAATCGAACCCGCGTTTTTCACTTTCCGGGCGACTGCTCTTACCAACTAAGCTATTCAGACCCTTTCGATCCTATATTTTTCATTTGCCTTTTTAGTAGATGTTAGTAAACCGTTTTCGCCGGAAAGTGAAAGACGCGAGTTTGATTCCCGCTTCAGCGACTTTTCGGGACCTATATTTTTCTCGCCTATTTTTCTCTATATGTAAGTTCAAGATTAATTTATATGGAACGTAGTAATCTCAAACCAAGAGATACAGTTCCGAAGAATTAATTTTCGCGTGGGCTCTATTGACCGATTTAAATTCATGTATTATTTATTATTATTATTATTAATAATATGAGAGCCGACATATATTCTTATCTGATAATTTAAATATATTTTATTATTCCTCAATTTTATTGTGCCTATTTTACAATATTTACATTTAGTAACATTTTTTATATAAAATAGTACATTTCAATGAACTCTATTAAATATTACAACAGTTATAATATTTTTTAAGTCTTATAAAAAAAATAAACTTGTGTTAATATTAAGCTTCAGTGACAAGTGCACATCAGTATTCACGTTTTATTTCTCCTGCTTCTTCATTAAGTATATTCCAACATAAACTTCATCATTTTCCACTGCTTCCAAACCTTCTTGTATGTAATTCTCTACATCTTTGTCAATACCATCCAGACATATATTATGTAATACTGTACAAGCAATTATGACATGGGGGATCATTTCATTTATGTTCATATTGAGAAACTTCAATCTACGGAATCTACTTTTTAATAATGCAAATGCACATTCAATTACTGATTGTTTTGATGAAAGAGCGGTATTAAATTTCTTCTGAGCCTGTGAAAAGATATAATATATATATTTAAAAAATCTCTTACTACAAAAAATATAAGATATGTGTAATAAAATTATCTTACAACTGTAAGTTGACCACGATCAATATATGGGGAATACACCATGTTAATACGGGATATGCTTTATCGCCAATAATGAATTCGCCATTTGGAAAGTAAGATTGTTTATCTCTTTGAACTTCTTTCCATAAATCTGAATTTTTGAAAACTTAAATCTCCAACTAAACCTGCATATCCTGCGAAACAGTCAGTGAATCTCATACAAGTATCACAGACTGTTGCAAAATTATGGCATGTTTTCTTATAAGTTCTATAATATTAGGAATCAATCTAAAAAGAAAGAAAATTTATAATACTATATTTTTCTTTTTCCTAATTCTTATTATGGGAGTTTTTCAGCAACAACACACAGCGACACAAAGTTATTCTATCTTTGTGTTTACTGGTATTGAAAGAAGATGAATAATACACTATGTCGCTCTGTGCCATTGCTGGAAAGCTCCCTATTTATGTTATGGTTACAATGGATATCAATAACATGGTTACTTACTTTAGGAGCTTTTATAAGAATATGTGTACCGTCAATTGCACCAATTATGCCTTGCAATGGTGAATTCTTATTGAAGTCTGCTTTTACTCTATCAAGTTCTTCGCTCTTGGCCATGAAATGATTAGCTTGCTATATATTCAAACATTTAATAACTTTCATGAAACTCTTGTATAATGAACTCTTAGCAAGATCAAACTTTTCCCTACAGAACTGAAATCAATTATTCATACTAATTAAATCATTACAAGTACAAGAGTACAAGAGCAAATATTAATCAGAAACTTACCGATAAGAATCAGGTGTTGCTAATAACCATAATGATCCCAGTAATTGTTTTCTTACTGGAATAACAGTTTTTCCTTCAGAAAATGAGAGCACAGGACCAAGTTTTGCTTTCAGATTTTCATAAGTTGCTGGGCTCATACGAAAATGTCTTTTAAACTGTTGTGTTCATTCTCGGAATGATTCTTTCAACATAACCTTCAACTCTTGAAGGCTTTCGTTGAACTCCACGTAACTGAAATCTTTTTATATCTCCTTCATCTAAATCGAATCACTAGTTTGCTGTCTGTATTAAAAAATACATTGCAACGAAGAAAATCATTACTGAAAGCAATTGCAGTAAGTGCAACAGCTCGCGGTGTTCATCCATGTTTCCAATAATTTGAGGATTGCATTTATTTTCAAACTCGCACCCCCACCGGAAAATTATGGCAAGTGCGTTCTGATTCCATAATCCTCTTAGACACTAGACACTAGTTAGATTTTGCCTATCACCTATTTCACTCCATTACCCACCAGGTGGAAAATCGGAACGCAGTTCAGGAGACCGAACTCCTTAGAATTTCAGTGGTGGGGTAAGATCAAAATACGGTCTCATTTCATAAGTATAGTAAGTAAAGAAGCATACTTCCTCTCTCTCTGTGCGACTGTAGCAAACAACCATGAGCTATATTTAAGATTGCTTTAAGTTAATATTTTATGTTAATAATTTATGATTTAAATTGTTGCAAAATTGAATTATATAATTTTAGATATAAAATTATTATTATTAACAAAAATATGTGTATGCATCATTATGTCGTATATATTTGTGTAAAATCATAGATAACATAATTATAATACAAATCTGATTTTTGAAATTCTCACTGTATATTTAAAGTAAAATTATTATACATACTTTTTTGACTGTAATGTCTCAGTTGATTTGCTCTGCAAAAACGTAGAGGTGGATCAGCAGCTGAATAAGTACAAAAGAATGAGCTCTGCATATGGTCGAGATGTGTTCTGGTACAAAATTCTCTGATAAATACACTCTCTCCAAAGTCCTGTGCAAAATTTATCAATTCTATCTAACAGTTTCTTTGTATCATCCCTAGCATAATTTTAAAGAATGTAACCAGCTTGACAGCATCGATAAGTGTATGCTTGTACGAGTTTCCATCGGATATGTATGTAAAGCGATTATAATAATACAGGCACACATAGTCTTCCCACTTTGCTCCGGCTTTCCTGTTCACGTTTTGTTTTGCATAGTAATAAGCATGTCAAATAAAACTATTCCCACATATGTGTAAGCAAGTGCTTCGTAAAGGGTGTTGTTTAGAACAGGTTTTTAGTTAATCTCATAAGTTTTTGATCAAAATTAAATACTATTTGTGCTGCTTCTGAAATGCTTTTGTTTATTTCACAGCTTTGTTCCTTGAGACATAGCACTGCATCTATGATGACAGATAGATATATAGAAACCCAGAAGGACCAATCAGAAGATTTAGTTCTTTACACTTTGTCAATAACTCATATAATAGCTGATACACAAGATGCTGTTTCTGTACGAAATTAGCCTCCACACTAGCGGCATTTTATAAGCTTTATCCAATTTACGCTCCAGCATAAATGATTTAACAATTGTAAGAAATTTTTCCCCTTTTCCCCACCGAACTGACTGGCGAACACGCGGGGAAAGCATGACACCCGATAATTGGTCGGTCGGCGCCCCGTTACGCGACCCAGGCCCGGTATTCTGGGGGTATTCTCCCGATCGCGCGCTCGCTAGGCTTTTGGGGTATAAAAGGAGAGAAGGAAGAGTTACGGGGGACTCGAGTGAAAGGCATCTGCCCTTTTGGTTGTAGCCCTCGATATTCGACTTGACTAGAGCAACCTAACGGTTTTGTTAACGTGATAACGTTTTTGTATCTCGCTCGCAATTTCTGATTTGAAGTAACCGTGAAAATAGCGACGCAATTCGACATAGTGAGTCGATCCTGATATCTCTCGAAGTGTTTGGCCGGCGATTATAATTACGCGCACCCGTACAATTGTGTTTCCATATTAAATGAATATCTCTAATATACTGTCCATTAATCAAGTGACTCCTTATTTAGTTGAGACCTCAGCCGCTCGTTCTCTGTTGTTGTCGTTCCGAGGATCATTCTCAATCAGGCATTTCGATACAATCAACTCAGTGAACACAAATTAGTGAGAACAACTTATATTCGAATGACAAAGAGATCTTACAGTATAAAATTCAGAAGTGGGATAACGTACTCGCCTTCCCTTAAGAAAAATTGTACGTATATTTAGGGATAGCCGCGTCCCGCATTCCTGAGCTCGCCGTTTACCGTTTTCACGAAAACATCACGCGACGCTCAAGGTGACGCGTATGTTTTTGTTCCTGTGATAACGTGCTAGGTGACTTCGATATTGTCTAAGACTGTGTTCGAGGCAAGAACGGGATTCCACATCGGACGAAGAAATCTATGGTTGGAACGCGAGCCCAGCGGGATCAGTGGCAAATAATGGAGCGAGATCGGCTTACAGCCCTATCTATGGATGATCTGCGACAAGAGGCCCTACGTCATCAACTGCCAGCAACAGCTGATCGAGAGGTGTTGATCGAAGCGATCTCGGCACATTTGTCCCTCGATAGTCCGACGGACGAAATGATGCCTTCTGCATCAGGTTCCCGCACTACCACCGGGAAGATACGCAAAGGAAGTGGCAGTGCAGATCGGCGAGGGTCGGTGCCATCAGTGGTCGTGACACCTGCCGCGGGAACTGCGGCGCAAACTGGGGCATTGGACCGCCTCACTGAGACCTTGGCTGTATTTATGCAGCAGCAACAACAGAGATCTTTATCCCCAGGGGACCTTCCCCAGAGCAGGAGGAAGTGGAGCAGATTCGTTCTCCAGCAGTCAGTACATCATCGCCGGCACAAGCGGTGACCTTGTTAGCACCGCAAATTTTCGGAGCGGCACGGACGAGGAAAACGTCCATATTTGGTCACAAAGAGTCGACAGAGTGGCTCAAGTGCATCATGCGTCGGAAGACGTCGTGCTCCTCGCAGCCTCTAGTAAATTGACGAAACTCGCAAAGCAGTGGTACGAGATGCAATCCGGCCACGTCTTAGAGTCGTGGTACGAACTAAAGCAAGCAATGATAAAGATGTTTGATCGTCGTGTCTCGTTTACGGCCGCGATGCAAAAAATTGAGGCTCGAAAATGGAATCCGGCTAAAGAATCATTTGACCAATATTCAATTGACAAGCTAACATTAATTCATCGTTTGGATCTCCCTAGTACAGATGCGATCAACTTGATAATCGGTGGCATTCCGCAACATTCACTTCGTGCAACGGCTTTGGCGTTAACCACGCAGTCTGTAGATAAATTCTTGGAAGCAATGAGGAGGATCACCTACGGTATGGGCGACATGAGAGAAAAAAACCATCATCAGAGTAAAGCCATTAAGAAGGACTACAAAGCAGCTGACGGGAAGACACAGGGCCACAAGGACAGGCCGACCAAGGGAGCATGCAATTATTGCAAAAAGGAAGGTCATTGGAAATCGGACTGTCCACTGCTGAAGAAGAAAGAGCGGACAGTAGCAACGGCCTCATCCTCCTCCCCGGCACCGGAAAAGACATCATCTTCCACGCAGCCGACGGCAGCGGCGGTCGAGGATAACAACAGGGATAAGTTTTACCTCTCTGGACCGTTAATAATAATTGACAAAATCAATAATATAGATTGTAATTTGAGCGCGCTAATGGACACAGGAAGTCCAGTCTCATTTGTTAGTTTGAGTAATTTTCAGAAATTTTTCAATTGTACGCAAACCGCGTTAGAACCAGTCGATCGGAAATTTAACGCTTTGCCGAAAAATCCGATTAACGTCCAGGGGAAAATTAATTCCGTGATTAGCTTTAAATCATTCCCCGATCGTACTTACGAAGTCTGTCTTCACGTAGTTGATTCAGATTTTTCTGAAATGGATTTAATAATCGGACGTGATTTCCTAGAGAACTACAATTTAACATTAATTTTCCGACCGACTAGGTCCGATTCCACTGCATTTACGCAACTCCTTTTACAATCGGATGTTTGTTATACTGAAATGAATGCGGAATCTTTGTTAGATGAGTGTGAAATAGATTTCGGGCTAGCGGAAAAACAACAGCTCAAAGAAGTGGTCTTAGATTGTTTAAATACCGAGGTTAAGGTAATCGACGATGACTATTACGTATCGGTTAATTTGAAAGACCATTCAACGTACGCATTCGCACCTAGAAAATTTGCGCTAGAGGAGCGAAAACAGATTCGGGCGATTACCGATGATTTATTGGAACGCGGCATTATCAGGAACAGCACGTCTCCGTACTGCGCAAGAATTGTTCCCGTGCGGAAGAAAAATGGCAACCTGCGACTATGCGTAGATTTACGCCCACTGAATGCGCGCATTCTTAAACAAAAATATCCTTTTCCTCTGATCGAGGATTGTCTGGCGCAATTGAGCGATCGAGCGGTTTTTACATTGCTCGATTTAAAAGACGGGTTTCACCAAATCAAAGTCAAACCTCAGCATACGAAGTACTTTTCGTTCGCGACGCCCGATGGGCAATTTGAATATGTACGATTACCCTTCGGTTTTTCGGAAGCACCCGCTGAATTCAAAAACGCGTCGTCCAAGTTCTGCAACCGCTCATACGACAAGATAAAGTTCTAGTCTATATTGACGACATTTTAATAGCAAGTCGATCGGTAAAGGAAAATTTGGAAGTATTACAAGAAGTCCTATTAGTTTTAAAAAATACGGTTTTGAGTTGAATTTCACCAAGTGTTGTTTTTTGAAGAAAAAAATCGAATTCTTAGGATATATAATTTCCAAGAATCAAGTAACCATGAGCGATCGTCACACGGAAGCCGTGAAGAATTTTCCTGCTCCGAAAAACACTCACGAATTGCAGCGATTTCTCGGGTTAACTAATTATTTTAGAAAGTTTATACAAAATTACGCACATAAAGCAAGACCGTTACATAATTTGCTACGAAAATCGGTAGACTTTATTTTGACGCAGAATGTACTTCCGCGTTTGAAATACTGAAAACTGAACTGACTGCGTATCCGGTACTTCGCTTGTATCATCCAACCGCACCTACTGAGTTGCATACTGACGCAAGTGCTCAGGGGCTTGGAGGAATACTTCTCCAGAAACAATCAGACGCGAAATGGGCCCCCGTTGCGTATTACAGCCAAACGACAAATAGCGCGGAGTCGCGATATCACAGTTTCGAGCTCGAGATGCTCGCGATTGTTCGAGCGGTGGAACGCTTCCACATTTATCTATACGGTATAAAATTTACAGTAATTACGGACTGCAATGCGCTAGTCTACGCAGTCAATAAAGCGAATTTGAACCCCCGAATCGCTCGTTGGACGCTGCTATTACAAAACTATGATTTTAAGGTGGAGCACCGTCCGGGAAAAAGAATGGCACACGTCGACGCGCTTAGTCGCCAAGTATTCTATTTAGAAATCTTACCCTTGGAAAGGGAGCTAGAATTTAAACAGCTTCAAGATCCGCGAATTAAAGAAATTGCTGATAGTCTCGAATTTGATGATAATAATAAATTTCAATTAATCAATGGATTGATATATCGGAAAGGAGAGGACCGCGCGCGCTTTGTAATTCCCGACGCGATGATCCCTAATATTCTTAGAATATATCATGATGATATGTCGCACTGTGGATTTGAAAAAACGTACCAAGGGGTACACGGATCGTATTGGTTCCCAGCTATGCGAAAAAAAATTCGCGATCATATTGATAATTGTATTACGTGCCTGTATGCGAATTCCTCAACTAATAGGCGCGAAGGCGAATCGCAAATAGATGATTTTGCCCCTACGAAACCATTTGAAATTATTCACGTTGACCATTTTGGTCCTCTGCAGGAAACGCCAGAAGGTTCAAGATATATCTTTGTAGTGATAGATGCGTTTACACGGTACACGTGGTTGTTTCCTACGAAAACAACGAACACTAAGGAAGCTCGCAATTGTTTAAAATTTTTATTTCATATTTTTGGAACACCCGTTACGGCGGTTACTGATCGGGGTTCGGCTTTTACAGCAAGAGATTTTGCAGAATTTTTGGAAAAATTAAATATTAATTTTAGAAAGGTCGCCGTAGCCTCACCGTGGGCTAACGGCATAGTAGAGCGTGTTAATCGATATTTGAAAAGCAGTCTAACTAAATCGATCGATTCGGCTGATGATTGGGAAAATAAACTTATCGCGGTACAGTACACAGTGAACAATACACATAACTCAGCAATAAAAACCTCTTCCTCGAAACTTCTGTTAGGGTACGAGCAACAATGTCATGAAGACAAAGATTTGAAAGACTATTTAGACTGTTTGCTCGAAATAGATAATAACATGTACGAACAGAGAGAGGAGGCACGTGATATTGCCAAACAAGCTAACAATAAGCTCAGGGAATATAATAAGGCTTATTATGATCGTCACCACAAGAAACCGACTGTGTACAAGGAAGGCGATCGAGTATTGATACGCGACCTTCAGGCCAAAGTAGGTATAAGTAAGAAGCTAAAACCAAATTATAAAGGCCCGTATGAAATTGCCAAGGTTCTAAATAAAAACCGGTATGTTGTAAAGGACATTCCTGGGTTCGACATCACGCAAAAACCTTACAATACCATCTTGTCTTCCGACAAATTGAAATACTGGACGAAGCCGGTAATTAAGAATAATAAATGACAGTACTAAATAGAGAAATATATGTACCTTGGCGACCGCACTGTTAAAAATAAGTTTTCTCTATATTGCGGGGTTATTTGTATGATTAATATTAATAATGTACCCGAATTACTCACTTAAGATTTTATGCAATGTAATTATATATGGCGAAAAATTATCTTGTAATCTCAGGATAATTAATGTGTATTTCTGTTCTTAGGTTTACTTAATCGAAAAAAAAAAAAAAAAAAAAAAAAATCGGCTACATTCGAGACGAATGTAATATCAGGATGGACGAACTGTAAGAAATTTTTCCCCTTTTCCCCACCGAACTGACTGGCGAACACGCGGGGAAAGCATGACACCCGATTAATTGGTCGGTCGGCGCCCCGTTACGCGACCCAGGCCCGGAATTCTGGGGGTATTCTCCCGATCGCGCGCTCGCTAGGCTTTTGGGGTATAAAAGGAGAGAAGAAGAGTTACGAGAGATTCGAGTGAAAGGCATCTGCCCTTTTGGTTGTAGCACTCGATATTCGACTTGACTAGAGCAACCTAACGGTTTTGTTAACGTGATAACGTTTTTGTATCTCGCTCGCAATTTCTGATTTGAAGTAACCGTGAAAATAGCGACGCAATTAGACATAGTGAGTCGATCCTGATATCTCTCGAAGTGTGTGGCCGGCGATTATAATTAACCGCACCCGTACAATTGTGTTTCCATATTAAATGAATATCTCTAATATACTGTCCATTAATCAAGTGACTCCTTATTTAGTTGAGACCCTCAGCCGTTCCTCGTTCTCCTGTTGTTGTCCCAAACAGGGCATTTCAAGCTCAGCTTCTTAAGAACAATTAGTGAGAACAACTTATATTCGAATGACAGAAGAGATCTTACACAATTTGATTGGAAGGGCGGACATCATTTGGTCTTACATTCATTTCAGATTTGATAAGTTTCTCGAAATCCTCACTGTTATAGTTTGTCTTTTTATAGTCAACAACTTCTCTTCAATTAAAAAACTACCGAATGATGTGGGAATTGTCTATCAGCAATACTCGCTGTTGTCAACGGGAGCAGGTTAAGGTTAATAAAAGGTGCTCCCTGGTCCGTGCTCGTAAAGCCATAGTCAAATATCTGTAAATAAGAAATATTAATATAACAATTTAATTGTTTTTTAATTTAGCAATAATTTTTTTATTTTTCACCTGTAATAACCATAAATTCTAATAACTGATTTTCTCAACACAAAATTTATATCGTTAGTATAATTACTTAAAATCCTAATAAATACACTAAGACTAATTATAAATGTGTCAATTTAAACGTATTTGTATAAAATACCTGTTTCATCTAATTGTGCATTCTCTGATCGCGGAATAATATATTTGTAGAGAGCTAACTTAATAGTTGGAAACAGCATGCGCAGTATATATGCGCATGCGCAGTATATGTGAGCAATTGAAAAATAATTATTTTGTTATAATTACCAGATAGCTACAGTAATATATGACATTATTTTGATATCAAAATGCATCATTTGCCATCAAAATGATGCATTTTGACATCAAAATGATGTCATAATAATTACTGTGGCTAGGGGATTAGTAAATAATCGACCAACAATCATTTCTAAAGACATAATTGGGACCAACAATCGATTTCCTATCGATTGACGTATAATTAATTAAAATCGATTAAAATTGTATATAGGTAGGTAACTTCATATTGATATTTATTTTTTAATAACCAACAAAAACTAAAATATTATCAACAATGATCAATAAAAGACCAACTATAATTCAATTATTGAAACTTCGAAAATCTAATTTTGGTAGGCTACCTTCACAGAACTGCTCTACGGCGTCCGTATCGGAAGTTCGATACACTTATTAAAATATCGATACATAATAATATCGAAAGATAAAAATATAATACAAAATATCGATACTATAAAATAAAAAATATCGAATTTTGAAATATCGATACTATATCGCCCATCCTATTTCCGAGGTCTATTTACTATTAATTTTTGCCTGATAACCGCATGATATGGTTGATCCTCTTTACGAATTATCGACGAATTCAGAGATATCTTTTTTCTTCGTTTCTACATATTTTATTAGACGTGAAATAAAGTTCAAGAATATTTTATTTGTATAAGGGTATAATATATATATGTATTTTTTGCCACATTTTTAATAATTTATCACGGTAAAACATTTCATAAAATTGAGGTTATGTTTAGAAAGTCGCGCAAAAGAAAATAAAATATAATTCAATATCAATGAACTTATATTACTTATTGCTTTCCATTTACATTAGAACTCAAATAATTATCCCTAACATCATTTAACTCATTTGTGAATCATCAGTATATTATTTACATACTGTAATAATGTAATAATACATCTCTAACATCTCTTGTAGTATATTATTCTCGTATATATGATACATGTAAAGTATGCCATTATATTTGTAATTTTCATGTTGCAGTATAAATCAAGAAAAATAGAGTGTGCAACCTTTCTTATATAATCCACTTATTTACTGGAGCACAAAGCCTGAGTGAGTTTGATCGCTTGTGAATATTGCATGTGTGTGTCGTTGACTTTGTATTTGAATACATGTTAAGTATTTTATATGTTTAAAGTATTGTTAGTAAGTTTATTAATAATTTTATGTTGCAGCATAATCAAGAAAAGATTGATTGAGATGCGACCAGGTTTTACATCCATGTATTTATTGGGTCAGAAAGTATTAAGTAAGTGTAATTTTTATGTATTGCATATCTCTATCTACATAAGAAAAAAGATTGGTCAGATTGACTAAAATTTTCAATATAATTTTATTTTATTTCAACAAAATGTACTTAATCAAATAATATTACTTTGCAGCCTCCAAATTATTCTTAGAATGAGTAAACATTTTATTGTTAAAATAAATAAAAATTTGAAAATCTAGT